AGATAGCACTGTAGCTATATGATCAAGATAAATACCTCCAATAGCGGGATAAACCCATATAAATGTGCTGCTGATATAATGCACTGAGAAGATATAATTTTTTTTTTGAGACGGAGTCTCACTCTGTTGCCCAGACTGGAGTGCAGCGGCACAATCTCGATTCATTGCAACCTCCGCCTTCTGGGTTCAAGTGATTCTCCTGCCTCAGCCTCCCAAGTAACTGGGATTACAGGCACCTGCCACCACGCCCAGCTAATTTTTGTATTTTTGTAGAGACAGGGTTTCACCATGTTGGCCAGGCTGGTCTCAAACTCCTGACCTCAAGTGATCCACCCGCCTTGGCCCCACAAAGTGCTGGGATTACAGGCGTGAGCCACCGCGCCCGGCCAAGAGACCTCAATTCTATGAATTTTCTGCTCTGTATACTTCAAATTGTCAGAGTAAAGAAAGAGGCTGAGTAACTGTTCCAGATGAAGATGGGGTTGGAAGAGGTCAGTATAAAAAAGACATGACAACTAAATACAGAGTTTGATCCTAGATTGAATTCTGGACTGAGAACCAGAAAATGATCTGTAATGGACTTTTTTTGGGCACTTGCCAAAACTTGAAAATGGTCTGTGAATTGGATAATAGCATTGTATTAATGTGAAGTTTGCTAATTCTAATGATTATTCTGTGATTATGTAAGAGAATGTCCTTATTCTTAGAAATTACACACTTAAGTATTTAGTGGTAAAGGGGGCTATTATCTCCCATTTGCTCCCAAATGATTGAAGAAAAAAAGTGTGTGTGTGTGTGTGTATACAGAAAGAGAGCAAATGAGGTATAGTATAAATAATTGGTGATACTGGGTAAAGGAGATAGGGAACAGTTAATCCCTTTATTGCTGAATTTTCCAGATTTTTTTTTTCTTGTTTCTTTTTTCTTTCTTTTTGAGACAGGATCTTGCTCTGTTGCTCAGGCTGGAGCTCATTGGAGCCATCAGTAACCTCAATAGCCTCAGCCTCCTGGGCTCTAGCAGTCCTCTCACCTCAGTCTCCTGAATAGCTGGGACTACAGTTACCACTCCTGGCTAACTTTGTAGAGATGAGGTCTCACTTTGTTGCCCAGGCTGGCCTCCAACTCCTGTTCTCAAGCAGTCCTCCCACTTGGACCTCCCAAAGTGCTGGGGTTACATGCATGAGCCACACTGCGCCTGGCCCCAGATCTTTTCTTCAGCTTATGTACGCCACGTTTGTTCATAGAAGGATTGCTGTAGAGTGAGCATCATTTAGATTAACATTACTAGAAAGAACACACGTGGGGGAATATTGAAGGGAGGGCTCTGGGATCTAGAGCCCAGAATGTTGAAGGGAGGGCTCTGGCCACAGCTCATTTTGAGGGTAAAATTAATGGTAACTACCCCAAATACCTTCCAAGGTGTTTCCAGCCTCTGTCCAAACTTAGCCATCACCACCGCTGACAAAATATGTTTCAGTTTACGCAAGTCCAATTCATTCAGCAAAACCTCATCTACTTGCTCTTATATTTTAGACAGCTTCAGATATTACCATAATTCAGTAGGCTACAACTTGAAAAAATAGTAAGAAAAATAGATATTTCAGACCTGTGCTGCTGTCTTTTTTATGAGACATTTTATTATCCAGATGGGTGGGGCCATGACTCAAACACATTTTCTAAAATTGCATTTTTTTTACCCACTTGTAAATGAAAATGCCCTTGAAGAGGTCTTAAAGTATTTTGTATCACACATTATTCAGGTGATGCATTAAACAATGCTGCCCCTGCACGTGGGCTGAAGTATAAGAAAGCCTTCTGTGAACCTACTTAATTTGGAAGCCTGAGTTTTAAAAAGAAAGTGAAGTGTAATTTTCTGAATACACCTGTGTGAAGTTTCTTTCTTGGGTTAGTAGTATTGTACCCAAAGCAATTCACCTAATATTAAACCATTCTAATCTGCACCTTATTGAATGAATTTTTCTCTAAAAATTCATGATGTCTAAAGCTGTCCAAACCGTAAGAAAACACATTTGTAAGAAACTGCCAGAATTGGTGCAAATTCACAGTCTTAAGAAAAAGAATTATCTTTAAGAAAGAAAATTCTCCAAAAGAAACTGTCCATCCTTCTCCCATCTACTTAGGTATCAGAATTTTTCTAGGAAGTGTCCTGATTTGGGCTACCTGATTTCCCTCTTCACAAAAGAAATGCCATTTGTATTCTTAGCGTTTGAGTTAATTCAGTCGTCAGAACTCTGTTTACCTTTGACCTATACTTAGCTTTTCCTGCTGGGACTTTATTGTTCAATGTCAAATCTCTCAATCTCCCTGGGGTGTGATTGTTCAGTCTATTGCAGAAAATAGCATCATGCCTTTTGGAAAAGTGGGGAAATAGAGGTCATGAAAGAACTAATTATATAGAAGATAGAATTTTCTGTAAGGAGTAGCATCATTCTAGATGATTCAGTGGAATCATACTCTTACTAGAAATTTTAAGATGTTTGCCAAATGTTAATCTTAACATATGATGATAATGATGATGACCAGGCCCAGTGGTTCATGCCTGTAATCTCAACACTTTGGGAGGCCAAGGTGGGCGGATTGCTTGAGCTCAGTTGTTCTAGACCAGCCTGGGCAGCATAATGAGACCCCACCTCTAAAAATATGTATAAAAATTAGCCCGATATGGTAGTGTACACCTGTAGTCTTAGCCGCTTAGGAGGCTGAGGTGGGAGGATCGTTTGAGCCCTTGAGGTCAAGGCTGCAATGAGCCATGATCATGCCACTGCACTCCAGCCTGGGTGACAAAATGAGACCCTATCTCAGAAAAAAATATATATGGTGATGATGATGGTGATTTGTTGAGCATTAATAAGGTCTAACCATGCTGCTTCATGTTACACACTACGTTAACTTATTTGAGCCTCAGAATTACCCCAGTAAATGAAAATCCTTGACTTTATGCCTAAGAAAGAAAACTGGTACTTGCAAGTAAATGAGGAAGCTGGAATAGGAACCCAGGTCGTTTTTTTTTTTTTTTTATTTTATTTTTTTCTTATCAGTATGGAGGCTTTTGGGGATACCCAATGGTTTATTTTTTTTGTTTTTATCTAATTAGTTTTTTTTTTTTTTTTTTGAGACAGAGTTTCGCTCTTGTTGCTCAGGCTGGAGTGCGATGGCGCGACCTTGTCTCACCACAACCTCCGCCTCACAGGTTCAAGTGATTCTCCTGCCTCAGCCTCCCGAGTAGCTGGGATTACAGGCATGCACCACCATGCCCGGCTAATTTTGTATTTTTAGTTGAGACGGAGTTTCTCCATGTTGGTCAGGCTGGTCTCAAACTCCCGACCTCAGGTGATCCGCCCGCCTCGGCCTCCCAAAAGTGCTGGGATTACAGGCATGAGCCACCGCGCCCACCTGTTCTCTGCGTCTTGTTAAATGTCAAAGTGTGTGCAAGCATTAAAGTTGTATAATGATCCTGAGTTGACTTACCTATGTACTGCTTTTCACATAAGAAATTCTAGTCAGGCCCAGTGGCTCACACTTGTAATCCCAGTGCTTTGGGAGGCTGAGGCATGCAGACTGCTTGAGGCCAGGAGTTTGAAACCAGCCTGGACACCAACGCAAAACCCTGTCCTTACAGCAAATACACAAATTAGCTGGGTATTGTGGCATGCACCTGTAGTCCCAGCTACTCAGGGGGCTGAGGGGGGAGAATCTATTGAGCCTAGGAGATGGAGGCCCCTCCATTCTAGCCTCGGCCACAGAGTGAGAGTGATAGTGAGTTTTTTTGTTTGTCTCAAAAAAAAAAAAAAAAAAAAACCGTAATGCTAGCCAAATGTAAGAGAAGATATTTAAGGTTGAGAAGAAAGCACATGGATTTTGGATTCTCTCTGATGTATAATATTAGGTAAATTAACATCAAATTTCTGAAGCACTATTTTCTCATCTATAGCTGAGTATAGTAATTTCTGCCCTAATTTTTTTTTTTTTTTTTTTTTTTTTTTGAGACAGAGTCTTGCTCTGTTGCCCAGGCTGGAGTGCAGTGGTACGATCTCGGCTCACTGCAAGCTCCGCCTCCCGGGTTCACGCCATTTTCCTGCCTCAGCCTCCCAAGTAGCTGGGACTACAGGCGCCCGCCAACACGCCCGGCTAATTTTTTGTATTTTTAGTAGAGACAGGGTTTCACTGTGTAAGCCAGGATGGTCTCAATCTCCTGACCTTGTGATCCACCCGCTTCGGCCTCCCAAAGTGCTGGGATTACAGGCTTGAGCCACCACACCCGGCCACTGCCCTGATTTTTTTACAAGGCTTTATAAGAGGATTAAGCAAAATAATGTGTGGGTTAGCTTTTTACAAAAAGGTGGTTAACTCCATTAAAATTTTGCTTCTTAATTGGGAAATTACACTATGACCTGGGTATTAGAAAATTAGAAGGCATTGGTTTTACTTATTTTGGGTGGCATGAATGCATTGTAGTTATGTGAAAAGATGGGATACATTCTGAAGTATCTAGGGGTAAAATGACATGATGTCTAGGTTCATTCTAAAATATGTTAGCAAAGGGCCGAGTGTGGTGGCTCACGCCTGTAAGCCCAACACTTTGGGAGGCCAAAGCGGGCAGATCACTTTAGGTTAAGAGTTCAAGACCAGCCTGGCCAACATGGTGAAAGCCTATCTCTACAAAAATACAAAAATTAGCTGAGCATGATGGCAGGTGCCTGTAATCCCAGCTACTCAGCTGAGGCAGGAGAATTGCTTGAATCTGGGAGGCGGAGGTTGTTGTGAGCTGAGATTGCATCACTGCAGTCCAGCCTGGGCAACAGAGTGATACTTTATCTTTAAAAAAAAAAAAAAAAAGTTAGCAAAGGAAAAATACGGATAGGTGAAAATATTTGGCAAAATCTTAGCAACTGGGGAATATACATTTATGGTACTGGTCTCTCAACTTTTTATTTATGTTTGAAAATTTTCCTAATACATTTTTTTAATTGTTCTTACAGATGCAGATTTTCTTTTACAATCCAGATGACTTTGACAGCTTTCAAACCGCAATTTCTGAGAACAGAATAATCGGAGCCATGGCCATATTTTTTCAAGTAAGTTAACAGTGGCTGAAGTACTTCAACCAAAGAATTCTTTGAGTATTTTTTTTTAATTCATCGAATTGTTCCATGTTTAATGAATGCATCTGTTTTCTAGTTCACACCTGTCCAAATGAAAGATATTTCATATTGTCTAATGTGTGATTTAAAATGTAAATAAGTATGTTTAGAAACATAATGAAAATTTTTGCATGAATTATTCTGATTTTATTGCTACTTGACTGGTGCACAGATTGAAGAACACATTTATCATCTAAGTTACTTTGTCGCTGAAGCATTTTGAACAGGTTCTTTCAGCATATTAAGAGACTGATATAAAAAAAGGTGGGTTTTTTGAGCAACTTTAAAATTTGACATTACTTGCAAGTAGGTTAATAAATAGCATCAGTCACTTTTCTAAAGAGACCCCCTCTCTTTCCCTCTCAGAAATCCCCATAGTAACTAAAGTGTTTCTTGCAACGATCTCTGTGTTGGTACATTTATGAACTCTTATCCTTCCGTCCTCTCTTTTAATATGACTGTGTTAATGAATGCGTATAACTCAGTGTTGATTCTGCACCTAGAATCCCAGCGTTGCATCCTTCGATAAAATAATGCTGTTCAGGCTTTTTAATAAGTCAAATCAAAGTAGTGTTGATCAGTGAGTGCCTTGACCAACTTGCCTGTAGGAGACCTTGGTGCTTTTTAGTGTGGAAGGTAGTCTGAGTAGTAGGCATCTGAGTTGTCTTTCAATCTTAAAGTTGACCTAGCGACTACATAAAGGTGTTCATTTCACCAATGAGTCTCTGTTGGTTGTTGGATGTCTTTTTGACAACTAAAGGGATGTTAAAGACATAAGAGCCTTCTCCAACACGTCTTTAACATCTGCCTTTTTGAGCAAGTTTGTCATTGAGGTGGAGCCATTCTTGTTTGGAGTATGTTAATTTCACCACCCTTTTCAATGGGTGACACATGAGTGACAGTTTTCTCCCTTTTAACTACCTTTCTCCCTTTTCTCAAGAGAGGTAAAGGCTCAAGTGAGAGATCAGATATGAAAATTTGAAAAGCTTGATATTCTACCTAGAATAAGAACAATGGTTGTCATTGTTGATTATGGCACTGCTTTTCAAACAGTGGGTTCTATCTTACTGTCGAGCCATGAAATGATTTCAGTAAGTTCTGATCAGCATTTTAAAAACAATGACATAGAATTATATAGAATAGGAAATAAGTCAGAAAATATCAGTAAAATATAGTACAGGTAAATATATTTATAGAATTTGTTTATGCATAATAAACATACTGGGTGTGTGCTGGATCATGATATAATGTGTATTGCTTACTGTGCATCGTGGTCAAGTATTTTGGAAGTTGTCTGTTTGTGCTATGTATTGGCCTAATTTGACCATTGTTCTCCAGCACCTCTCTTTTTCCTGATTACTTTTCATGAACACAATAGAGCATAGTGTTTTAAGAGCTTATTCAGAGTCAAGATACTTGCTTTTGAATTCCACGATTTTCTACTGCATAATGGTAATGTAGTTATTTAAACTTTTCAATCTCAGTATCCTTATCTGTGAAGTAGAGCGAACAGCTAATACATCATCATGTAGATTGTAGTGGTGATTAGAGGAGTTCCTAGTATACTCCTGGAACGTAGCGGACACTTGGAAATTGCCAAATAATATGCATCTATAGCCCTCCATGTTTCTGTGGGATGGAGACCCTGGTATACATACTATCTTTTTATGAACAGACGTATGTTCTGGACACTGCCCTGTTGGCAGATGACTTGAGTTCTGTCTGGACCTCTTCTGTTCCTTTTTTTTTTTTTTTTTTTTTTTGAGATAGAGTTTTGCTCTTGTTGTGCCCAGGCTGAAGTGCAATGGCGCGATCTCAGCTCACCGCAACCTCCGCCTCCCGGGTTCAAGCATTTCTCCTGCCTCAGCCTCCCGAGTAGCTGGGATTACAGGTACGTGCTACCATGCCCGGCTAATTTTTTTTTTTTTTTTTGTATTTTCAGTAGAGGCAAGGTTTCTCCATGTTGGTCAGGCTGGTCTTAAACTCCCAACCTCATGTGATCCACCTGCCTCGGCCTCCCAAAGTGCTGGGATTACAGGTGTGGGCCACTGTGCCCAGCCCGCTTCTGTTCTTAAACTGTGATTGGTTTGCATTTGGTAGCACTGGGACCACACATACTGCTCTTAAACAATTCCCACTTGCCCGGCTAACACCTGGTTTTCTGTCATTGTTCCCTTGGTATGCTGTTTTTCATGCAGCTGGACCTCTCTGCTCCTGTGGCCCTGCAATCAGATCCACCCTCACTTCCTTCTGTGTTGCGCCCACCTATGCCCAGACCGACAAGATTCTACTTCATCGGGAACCTTTCTTAAAAGAAAATTTAAAAAAAAGCTTTTTAACGTTTTTATGAGTACTGTATGGACAGTTTACAGCATGCTCTACCCAAACACTTTCTGTTTCTTTCAACTCTATAAACTCTTGTTAAATATAAGACCAATTAGAATTTTAGGCAGGCAAGACACATTGGTGTGCACAACAAAATACCTCACTGTGAAATCTAGGTTTTGAATTTTTAAAGTATTTCGAGGACACGACTACTAGTTTGCATATAAAGATATTTAATGTGCACTTCATTTCTTAGGTCCTTTTCTACGTTTGGCTTGCTATCCTATAGACACAAATTGGAGGTCAGATGATAAAAAACAGAACATAATTTTACATAGATAGCAGCTGTATTAAGCTGCTTCCTTTGTCTTTCTTATTTATTTAGAGACAAGTCTCCCTGTTGGCCAGGCGGAAGTATAGTGGTACAGTTGTGGCTCACTACAGCCTCCAACTCCTGGGCTCAAGGGGATCCTCCTGCAAGAGCCTCCCGAGTAGCTGGGACTGCAGGTGCAGACCACCACGTCTGGCTAATTTTCTTATTTTTTTGTGGAGACGAGGTCTTGCTTTGTGGCCCAGCCTAGTCTGGAACTCCTGGGCTCAAGTGATCTTCCTGCCTCAGCCTGCTAAAGTGCTGGGATTATAGGCGTCAGACACTGCGCCCGGCCCCTTTGTCTTTCTTGTAAGCACGCATGTGCTTATGTGCTTGAATTCTCACTATGTCATGCAATGCAAATAAAAAAAATTGTTATTTGAATTTGGCATTCTAGTTAGATCTCACTTTTAGATTTTTTTGCTTTCTATAAGAATGATAAATTTGAGAGTTTGATATTTCTTCCCAAAATAGAGAAATCTTGGTATATATTTCCAAATTCAAACCTGGCATCTTACATTTTGGTATTGAAGAAGGTTTTGTCATCTACCTATTCAACATCTATTCGATGCCAGGAATAGTACTAGTTGCTATGTTAAACATAATACTTCTCCTGTGCACTAGAACCTCAGTGTCATGGTCCCACAAATAACAGCCAAAAAGAGTTGAACTCCTCTACTTGTAAAAAAGCTATACTCTAACTTGGTGCTTATGAACCCACATATTCATTATTCAGAGTGACACAAAGAGAATGACCCAAAAGCCCAGGCCTAGGCAAGGCCAAGTTCTGCAGAAATACCAGTAGTCCGGATGCTAATTTACTTCATATACTAGAATAATTTTTTTTTTTACCATTTCAATTTTTCACTGTCTGTGCTGCTTTTTTTGTTCTCAACATGTGCCCATTATTCCTGGTAATTTTGGCTTTCTCTCTGCCTTTGCTGTGCTTAGATACGATGAAGTTCATAATGTTGCCCTCTAAAAAGCACCCAAATAGGCACCAACCTAGCAGACATATGGTTGTCCAATGAACCCTTACATTGGCCTAGACTGGGGGTTAATTGCACTTTGCCCTATTGTGGCTTAGAGGCATGATTTGTTGAATCTACACAGTGTTTATGATTCTTTTATTCAGTTAAGTATGGAAGGTTTTACACAAAATGTCTTGATGATGTCACAGTAATCGAGATCTGTCTAGTGGCTACTTTGGAGGGAGTGCACATTCCCATTGCAACGAAATCATCGAGCGGTCTTATTCATGTGTTCACATCAACATGATGTTAAGATCATGATGCCTGGCCTGGATCCCAGTAACTCTGAATGGCAGCTGATATATTTTGGTAACAGATAAGAGTTGAAGGTCAGTCTCAGTGCTGAAAGTTGGTGAGCCAGGTCTGCCCTTGAGGCACGGGTGAGGGAAGGAAGAACCACCTCCATGTGTGGAAGACGGTGAATCAGGGCAGCCACATCTTGGCCCAGACGGCTCTAGAAGGTGTGCTCCCTTTGTAGCCACTGGTAAGTGGAATATTGTAACTTTCCAACATGTGGTAGTAATGTGTCTGGAGGAAGGATCACCTTTTTCTAGATCACGCGGATCACCTTTGGGCTTGTTCCCTATCGAAAGCACAGGGGAACAGGCAAGAGTGAAATTCACTTTTAAAGGATTAAAAACATAAATTTAAAATTTAAAAAATTGTCAAGGGATAGAGGTATTTGTTGTTAAAACACTCAAGAGAATAAATACTTGTTTAGTTAATTTATATAAGTACAAAAACTAAAATAATTTTTTATTTGTTAAAGTAAAACTTCTCTACTATTAACCTAATTTTAATGCCTGTGAAAATATAAAATATCAGAAGTTATTATTTCATTGGTGCAATAGTAATCGTGGTTTTTGCCATTACTTTTTTGTTTTTTTTTTCCTTTTTGTGGAGAATGGGGTCTCACTATATTGCCCAGGCAAGTCTTGAACTCCTGGGCTCAAGCTATCCTCCTGCCTCTGCCTCCCTAAGAGCTGGGATTACAGGCATGAGCCACCATGCCCGGCTTTGCCATTACTTTTAAAGGCAAAAACCACAATTACTTTTGCAACAACCTAAAATACTCTTTCAAAATATTGTATTATTCTGATAACACCCTACATGGTTTATCTGGTGAAACAAATAAATATAAAAACTCAGGTTTACATGAAATAGAATCAGTGGAATGATTAGGCAATTTGTGGAAGGATACTTTGCTT